TATCAACACAGGAGCAAGCTATAAAGGACTCTCAAAGGTTTGGAACAAACTGCATTTTCTACAATTTCTTTTGTCCATATCTATATATTTTTTAATCACTCAGACGCAACTTCCACCAAATGACACCACTCTATAGTCTACTCTCCTCCATAATGTCCAGGATAAATTACTTGGGTTTTGACATCATAGCTTTTCCCCATCAACGGCAGACAAGAAGTACAAGGCAATACATCAATACTCTGAAGTAACAGCATAGGTACATTATTCTGGAGTAACCAGAGATGGAAAAGGAATTATCCACATTGTGTGTTTTTTCGTATGCATACATATGTGTTCTAACCTTCAGTGTATGGTCTGCTCAGTCTCAACTATACACCAATGGTTATTATATCCCAAAAGCCTCTGAATATGAATATGGCACCAAGCAATTCGAAATGTGAAGGCTTGTAGGAGGAAAAGAATTTATGCTGATGATAATGAGGTTCCCCCATATATTTAACAAGGAAATTTCTTGATAGTCTCCCCTCAAACACTGGACTATTATTACAGAATAATAATCCTAATAATATTCTAAATTCTCATGGCTCTATTGTGCTTGGTTTGGGCAAGGAGGGTTATACAGTAACAATATACAAATATTACTTCAAACTGAGAATTTCATGTCTAACAATAACACCACCAACACCCCATTTCCTAAATCTTTGGGATGGGCCAGCTAGATATAAATAGCCAAAATAAATATCCTGTTAGGTATATATACAGATGATTTGAACACGACTCAAGACCCAACTCAAGAAAGAATGCTGACTTGGTGCTTTTGAAAAGTGTTACGTCTCTACTCACAACATTTGATCATTGCATGATGTACTTTTATACAAACTGAAAGATCAGCATGGAAGGCAATTACAATTTAAATATGCCAAATCTTTAATCCACCTTATATATTTGTACTAAAAGTTATACAAATGTTTTCAAAGATTCTGTGTCACTCAAAAGTTCAGAGAAGCTATTAGCAAATGCTTAAGACAAACGTCTCAATTTCCAAGACAGGGAAAAAGGATTTGTTGGCACTGGATTTGCAAAGAGACACCTGAAAAGAAATCATCAATCCAAGCAAATAAAGCTTCAGCCTCCTCCTGCTATACAAAACCTACACTATACCACATTAGTTTAAACAGGATAGAGGCTGGAAAATTTAGCAGTAGGAATTTATTATTTAAAAAGGGTTAGTTTCCATACTTATTGAGATGTAATGCATAGCCTGACACAGCCAGAGGCATCAAGCAATTGTGTGTGACAGTTGTAAGTCTGTTTCATTTGGAATAGGTTTTCTTTTATACTGATTAGTATTCTTCTATCCAAACATGGATAAGTGGGAGGGCATACAGTGAAGTGTGGAAAGGATTTATTCGGGTGTCCCCTGGGCAACGTCCTTGCAGACGGCCAATTCTCTCACACCAGAAGCGACTTGCAGTTTCTCACGTCACTCCTGACACGACAAAAAAAGTAGTAGTAGTTGTCGTTGTCATTGTTATTTAATACACAACAAGATTAGTACACAGCAAACAAGATCACTATGCTGGCCTTTTTATTCGATCACATCGGACACTTCCCAGGTGTCTAGGACTGTGTGATATATCAGCAAATAATGTGTGCAGTTCTGAGTAGGGTGGCCTTTTGCAGCTTACAGATGGCAATTTTGTCAGCGCAGATTGTTTTTAAGTGCAGGCCATGGTCTTTGGGCACGGCACCCAGTGTGCCGATCACCACTGGGACCACCTTGACTGGTTTGTGCCAGAGTCTATTATTATTATTATTATTATTATTATTATTATTATGATAAAAGAAAGAATGATAAAACTACAAGTTACAATATCTGTAATCTATGCAACTTCTTGGTCATACACACACAAACTAAACATATGTGGGCATATATACAAAATTCTGGAACAGATTATTTAGAAATTTAAATAGGACTTCTATATTGACGACATACACAAGGAGATACAGGCAGATAGGGCAGTTTGCAAAGTATCTCCAGTAAAAACTGCATTCAGACTCCAAGGTTGTCTTAACTATTTTAAGCTCTCACATTAAAGTGCATGGCTTTCCATCTTTAATATTTTAAAACCTAGGTTCTTGGTGTCTGACAAACATTCCAGTTATTACACTGAATACCAGATTTTTGGATTTGCTCTGTAATTGTGTCTGTGTTATAACTGAGAGGCATTTCAAGTTACTGAGGCTTTATATGAATAGCAGTTAAGATAATCACCCAGTATTTTGAAGAGTGAAACAAGATTACTAGGTACAGCTAACATTGAAAATTGTGGTTTTTCAAACTGTTTAAAGAGAACTTACACCGCTTTTTATTTTGCCCTTTAATGTATAGCCAAAGGGACATGTCTGGTGAAATTTAGTCTGTATCTTGGGTTCAGGAATTAAACAAGCCAACTCAATAGTGAGTGTTCAGCACAGAATATACTATTCTAATCTTATTATAGATTCGTCAGTATTAACCTCAAGGAAAAGTATATAAAGTTTGCAACCACTCCCCCATTGTTAGCCTTTCTGGAGTGTGTTTTACTTGTTTATTATAATTACATACATTATCTTAGTGATCGCTACAAATATATAATTTGAGGATAATCAGTGTTGTTATGTTCACAGAACCCTCAAGGTGATAAGAAGTGATAAGAATTGTCACCAACCTGCAGAGGGTAAGCCACCCTAGCCGCAACCTGACAAACTAACACTTAGCTCACTGGCTAGTCCTACAGATTGATCAAAGTGGGACACAATGTGCATGAAAGGAAGACACAAAATTAAATAAGGAATACAACAGGGAAGCCATGAGCTTTGTTTTCAGCACTAGTCTACAACTGAAATACATTAGGTGACCTTGAGCAAATCATACTTTCTCAGTCGCAGAGAAAGCCAAAGGCAATGCCTCTCTGAATAAATATTGCTAAGACAGCCATGTGATCAGGTCACCATGCAAAAAACGCAAAGGAACACAACAAAAATGGCACTTCCAATATAGGAAGAAGAAACTAAAGTCAACTCTGAATATTACTTACACTTCATTCATTCATTCATTCATTTATTTAAAACTTTTATATCCCAATTTTCTCACCTCCATAGAGGGACTCAGACCGGCTTACAGCAAGGATTCAAGGTTTCTAATACAAGTTAAAACATCATACAACAATACAAGATTAAAATACGTATAGATAAAATACATATATACCAAATCACCAAGGTAAAATCATGTTCAACTCAGTCAACATATGTGGTCACTCACTTTGGTCTGTAACCAGTCTCAGCCATTATTCTGGGAATGCTTCGTTCCATAACCAGGATTTCACTAGCCTCCTGAAGGACAAGAGGGATGGGGCAGATCTAATCTCGCTCGGGAGAGAGTTAAATTGCCGAGGGGCCACCACAGAGAAGGCCCTGTCTCTTGTTTCCACCAAACGCACTTGTGAAGGTGGTGGGACCGAGAGCAGGGCCTCTCCAGAAGATCTTAACATCCTTGATGGTTCATAGGGAAGAATACGTTTGGACAGGTAAACTTCATCACACTAGAGAAAGAGAAAATCCACTTAAAATCCAGGCTCCTCCCTAAATTACAAACCCCAGAATTCTGCAGGAGGCAGCGACTGGATTTTAAGTGGATTTTTTCCTTTAGTGTTCCCAAAGGACATTTAATAGAATACCAAGTTTTTAAACTTTGTGTTTTCTCAAATACATCACAATTGTACCCTTGGTTTGCTCTTGACCCAATAAATAATATAATCCTCTAATGTGGTGAGGCCCTAGTTTCCTAGTCAACTCACTGCATATAGGCAGAAAACACAATATACAGCACCCAGACCAACACATATGGCAGCCCGGCATACAGCCAAACAGCGCTGCTGAGAAGCAGTATATTGATTAGTACATCTGGCAGATTACCTATGTCAGTGGTTCTCAACCTGTAGGTCCCCAGGTGTTTGGACCTACAACTCCCAGAAATCCCAGCCGTGACTTGGCCACAGTAGTCCACGCTCTGGTTACATCCCGTATAGAGTAATGCAACACTCTCTAGATGGGGTTGCCTTTGAAGACTGTTCGGAAGCTTCAAATGGTCCAACGGGTGGCGGCCAGGTTGTTAACAGGAGCGGCACTCAGGGAACCCTCTGCTGCGCCAGCTCCACTGGCTGCCAGTCTGCTACCGAGCACAATTCAAAGTCCTGGCCCAGCTTGCCTGTCCAAACGTATTTCTCCTTATGAACCATCTAGGACTCTTGAGGTCAGTTCTTGTGGGTTTTTTCGGGCTATATGGCCATGTTCTAGAGGCATTTCTCCTGACGTTTCGCCTGCATCTATGGCAAGCTTCCTCAGAGGTCTGCTGGAGCTGGGAAAAAAGGGGGTTTATATATCTGTGGAATGACCAGGGTGAGACAAAAGGCTTTTGTAAGTTGGGCTAGGTGTGAATCTTTTCAACTGACCACCTTGATTAGCATACAATGGGCTGACTGTGCCTGGAGCAAACTCTTCTTGAAAGGTGATTAGATGTCCCTGCCTGTTTTTCTCTCTGTTGTTTTAATTTTAGAATTTTTTAATACTGGTAGCCAGATTTTGTTCATTTTCATGGTTTCTTCCTTTCTGTTGAAATTGTCCACATGCTTGTGGATTTCAATGGCTTCTCTGTGTAGTCTGACATGGTGGTTGTGAGAGTGGTCCAGCATTTCTGTGTTCTCAAATAATATGCTGTGTCCAGGTTGGTTCATCAGGTGCTCTGCTATGGCTGATTTCTCTCGTTGAAGTAGTCTGCAGTGCCTTTCATGTTCCTTGATTCGTGTTTGGGCAATGCTTGGTGGTCCCTATGTAGACTTGTCCACAGCTGCATGGTATACGGTAGACTCCTGCAGAGGTGAGAGGATCCCTCTTGTCCTTTGCTGAACGTAGCATTTGTTGGATTTTCTTGGTGGGTTTGTAGATTGTTGTATGTTGTGTTTCCTCATCAGCTTCCCTATGCGATCAGTGGTTCCCTTGATGTATGGCAGGAACACTTTTCCTCTGGGTGGATCTTCATCTTTACTCTCGTGGCTTGTTCTTGGTCTTGCAGCTCTTCTGATGTCTGAGGTGGAGTCTCCATTGGCCTGGAGAGCCCAGTTTAGGTGGTTCAGTTCATCTTGGAGGAGGTGGGCTTCGCAGATTCTTTTTGCACGGTCTGCCAAGGCTTTAATGGTGCTTCTTTTTTGACTTGGGTGATGGTTGGAGTTTTTATGTAGATATCTATCTGTGTGTGTGGGTTTTCTGTAAACGGTGTGACCCAATTGTTGATCTGGTTTGCGGATGACTAGGACATCTAGAAAAGGCAGTCTTCCTTCCTTTTCTTTTTCCATAGTGAACTGGATGTTAGGGTGGATGCTGTTAAGATGTTCCAGGAACCTGTTGAGTTCTTCATCTCCATGGCTCCAAATGGTGAAAGTGTCATCCACATATCTGAACCATATAGTGGGCTTTTTGGTTGCTGTTTCAAGAGCTTGTTTTTCAAATTGTTCCATGTAGAAGTTAGCTATGACTGGGCTGAGAGGGCTCCCCATAGCTACTCCATCTTTCTGTTCGTAGAATTCATTGTCCCACTGAAAATAGCTGGTGGTGAGGCAATGGTGAAACAGCGCCGTGATGTCTTCTGGGAACCTCTGGTTGATGAGTGCCATGGTGTCTGCAACTGGGACCATGGTAAATAGAGACACCACATCGAAGCTGATCAGTTTGTCATTTGTATTTAGCTTGAGATTGCTGATTTTTTCAATGAAGTGGGCTGAGTCCTTGATGTAGTGTGTTGTGAGCCCAATGTGGCTTTGTAACTGTGCAGCAAGAAATTTGGCTAAGTCATATGTGGGGGACCCAATGGCACTCACGATTGGTCTGAGTGGGGTGGAGTCCTTATGGATTTTGGGGAGTCCATAAAGCCTGGGTGGAAGGGCTTCCGATTTACATAGCTGCTGTCGTATGTCGAAGTTGATTGAGGAGTTCTTAATTAGAGTGTTGGTTTTTCTGGTTATTTTGGAAGTTGGGTCTTGCTTAAGTTTTCTGTATATAGTAGGGTCCAGGAGTTTTCTGATCTTCTCCTTGTATTGCTCTGTATGCATGATGACTGTGGCATTCCCCTTGTCTGCTGGCAGAATGAGGATATCAGGATCTGAATTTAGGTCTCTAATGGCTTCTCTTTCCTTCCTAGTAATGTTACTGGAGGGGAGTTTTGCCTTTTTCAGGATCCTTGCTGCTTCCGCTCGTACTTCTTCTGCTTCCTCCTCTGGGAGGCGGTAAATTGCTGATTCGACATTGGCAATGATGTTTTCTACTGGGATCCTGGTGGCGGTTACAGTTACGGTTACGACTCTTGAGGTCGTCTGGGGAGGCCCTGCTCTTGGTTCCACCTTCTTCACAGATTCGGTTGGTGGGGACGAGGAACAGGACCTTCTCAGTGGTGGCCCCTCGGCTATGGAACGCCCTCCCTAGAGATATCAGATCAGCCCCCACCCTCCTAACATTTCGCAAAAAAAAGTTAAAACATGGTTTTTTGAGCAAGAATTCCCAAATGCGGTGTAGCAGACAAACTCTGATCTATGGAACGAGTGGACAACGCAATTGTATAATGATTTTAGTAATGAGACGCTGGGGATTTATGTTTTTATTGGTTTTTACTGTTTCATCTGATGTTATTTATGCTAATGTTTTAATTGTTTTTATGTTGCTGGGGGCATCAAATTGTGTCATTTGTAAACCACCCCGAGTCGCCCTCGGGTTGAGAAAGGCGATATATAAATATGGTAAATAAATAATTTATCAGCTGTCAGGATTTCTGGGAGTTGAAGGCCAAAACATCTGGGGACCCACAGGTTGAGGACTACTGACTTATGTACTTGTAGGATACTTTGGGAGCTTCTTCTGATTCTTAGCAATTCAGTATGCAAGGAGACCCTCTGTAGCTCACAGTAAGAGAATTCTTTAATGTACCAGATGACACTACTGCACATCTATTTTCATCTGTCTTTCAATATCCAAAGGATTATGACAGCAGGCTCAGGATTAAGATATATTTCTAGCTGGCTGTTTTAAACACTTCCCCAGAATATGCTGATAGCCAGTTGCAAGTTTTAATTCCCATGGGCCCGATCAATTGATAAAAGAGTCTACAGTATTAGGATGCAGTTGCCTGCTGTTTATTGTTGAAGATCAGCTTTCATTAGAGTTTGCTTGTGGTTTTTTCCTCCATGAAGACTGTCAAAGAGAATGCAACATGCACAAATACATAGAACTATGCTTAAAAGAATAAAAAGATAACTTTGAGAACTGGGTGCTGTCATAACAGTGCACAAACACATTTTGAATCTGAATTTACACAATTATTGAAACCAAGTTTAAGGAATGGTGTGACTCAAAATTTGTAAGTCAGTTATCGTTTACCTTTTTGCTGATTACAGTTATTTTGCCTTAGTTCAGAAATTTATCTTTTGCTGAAGGCCAAAGTTCTCAGTCAGCTCAAAATGTTTAACATTTGTACAGTCAGCATGAAAACAAAACAAAAAAGGGAATGAAAAATTGCTAAATGTTTGGGCTGCTGTGAGTTTTACGGGCTTTATCATAACCAGATTTTGGTCAGATTTTCACTTTAACCAGAGAAGTCAGCCAAAGCAGAGCACCTGATGAACCAACCTAGGCACAGCATATTATTTGAGAACACAGAAATACTGGACCACTTTAACAACCACCATGTCACAAGCATGTGGACAATTTTAACAGAAAGGAGGAAACCATGAAAATGACCAAAATCTGGCTACCAGTATTTTAAAAATTCGAAAATCTGTACAGTAAATAAAGAACAACACTCAGAAAACAGGGAAATTCCAAACAGGAAACCATCAGGGCCAGCTAACACCTCTCAACAAAGGATTCCCCAGAAAGGAAGCAGCCAGGTTGTGAAGCTACAAGGTCATTCAATGCTAATTAAGGTGGCTAATTGCAACATTCACACTTATCTCAATCAGACAAGAGTTCTTTCTCCCACCCTGGACATTCCACAGATATATAAACCTCGATTTTCAACAAACCTCACAACCACTGAGGATGCCTGCCATAGATGTGGGTGAAACGTCAGGAGAGAATGCTTCTGGAGCATGGCCATACAGCCAGGAAAACTCACAGCAACCCAGTGGTTCCAACCATGAAAGCCTTTGACAACACATAGTTAAATGTTTCTTTTTACTTTGTGGAAATACCTCTTTAGGAATTTCTATATTTTCCAGCATGATTCTATGGTTAATTTTTGCTGGAAGCTCAACACAAGATTACACTGGAGGACTCAGAGTCACACTAGATATAAAGATTTCTAGAGAGAATATTTTAAGTCAAATCTGTAAAGAAAATACATAAAAGTCAAAACCACAAATGTGATGGGATTGCTGTACTAGTGTCTCTGCTATATGCAAATAATTGTATTTCATAGCAATGACATCCTTCTAATTAGTTAGTGCTAACTAACTAGCACTAAAGTGCTAACTTTATCTAGGGCCTATGAGAAAATGTATCTTGCCTAAGATCACTCAGTGAGTTTGTAGAGGAAGCAGCTGTCAAAACGACCTCTGAATATTATTTTCCTAAGAAAACCCTATGCAATTCATGGGGTCACCATAAATAAATACGTGACTTGGAGGCGTACACACACAACAGTAAAGTGTCCCTTCTATAAGTGAAAGGCACATGCAGCCTCTATAAAACATGGCAGGCCACACTGAAAATTACTTTGGAATTGAATTGTAGGAGGGAAGGAGAAGACTACATTAGGAAAGAGGGCGACAGGAAAGGCTTCCGGTGACTGTAACTGCAAGCAGATGAGAAAAACATAGGCAGGTGGTCAAGCAACTAACCAAGCTGGCAAAGTATTTCAAGGGTAGCTGAATGGCTTGAATTCCATCATTTGTGCAGTCATTATTGCCTCGTCTAACATACACAGATCTATTATGGCTACTAAACTTGACAGCAAACTTCAAAATAAATCATAAGAAAATAGGTGATAAATTAAAAGCAGTCTAGAAAGGAATACCCACAGGGGAAAAAAACCAAGGCTTTTAAATGGCACTTCTTATTATGCTCCCATTCACAATACACAATAATGCAAGTTCTCATTTTCTATTGCATTGGCTATAAAGGTCTTTTGTTCAGTTATTTATAATGGTAGTGGCACATTAAGGCACGCTCTCACACTCTTCTGTTTTCTGAATAAAATTGCCTGCCAACTTTCTAAGCCTCCAGAATGCTCTATAAACAGCAACCTCGGGAGCCTTTGGAAGCACAAAACATTTTATAAGCCAAATACAGTCAAACATGGATCTACCTCAATGAGAGAGTTAAAGCACTTAACGCTTCCCAAGGAAAAACAAGTTGTCACTGCAACTTTGACCAATGCAGGAGCAACCAGAAAGTAACACCTGCAATTTTACCATGTTGATGCCCACTAACCACTAAAGAACTGAACAAGCATTCCATCAAGTACAGTTTAAAGCAAGTTCATGCATTCATGCAACTAATACCATGTGATAGCACACCCAAGCCTTTGGGGAAACTATATTGTCTGGCTATATTCGGGGGCTATCTGATACCTTCTATTAAGATTAAGACCCTTAGCAGACAGATGCACTTTAGGCAAGGTGAAAAGATAACCAAATGAGTTTACTGCAAACAAGATGAATAAAGGGTTAATTCCACCCGGGACTATCATAAGGTAACTTAAAACAGGAGATTTTGCTGGTTGCAGTCATCTTTCTAGAATCTTTGAAAGTTTTTTGCCTCTGGTGCAAAGCGATGATTATAAACTGTCTCAATCTTCTTCCTTGTAAAGCTTAGGCTGGCCAAAAGCTTCTGTTGTCCTTTGGACTGCTGGTATAAAAATACGGCTAAATGCAGGTGCTAAGAATGCCTGTTTATCGATTTCTTGGCCTAGGATTACCAGACAATGCCCCAAGCCTCTAGTAACTGTAGAAAATGGAGGCGTCCAGCAAGAGAGCTCTATACAGGAAAATGGAATAGACCAACTGAGGCTGGCCTCTGGGGGGTGTTATGCTCCACCCAAAAACTAATACAAAGGAAGGTGTGTACACTATTGAGAAAAATCTATGAACAGGGAGACTGAACCAAAGATAGGAAAAGATAGTGCCAAGACTTCACACATCATGTCATCCCAGCTTTACCTCCCTGCAAGAGTTCTTAATATCTCCCTACTTCAGTGTTTCTCAACCTTCCTAATGCTACAACCCCTCAATACAGTTCCTCATGTTGTGGTGACTCCCAACTATAAAATTATTTTCATTGCTACTTTGACTGTAATTTTGCCACTGTTATTAATCGTAATGCAAATATCTGATATGCAGGGTGTATTTTCATTCACTGGACCTCATTTGGCACAAATCCTCAATATGCCCAAATTTGAATGCTCATGAGGTTTGGGGTGGGGGTGTGGGGTTGGGTTGATTTTGTCATTTGGGAGTTGAAGTTGCTTGACCTACATCCAGAGAGCACTCTGGACTCAAGCAATGATGGATCGGGACCAAACTTGGCACAAATGGTCAATATGCCCAAATGTGAACATTGGTGGAGTTTGGAGAAAATAGACCTTGGCACTTGGGATTTATAGTTCACCTACAATCAAAGAGCATTGTGAACACCACCAATGATGGAATTGAACCAGACCTGGCACACAAAACTCCCATGACCAATAGAAAATACTGGAAGGGTTTGGTGGGCATTGACCTTGAATTTTGGAGTTGTAGTTCACTTACATCCAGAGACCACTGTGGACTCAAACAATGATGGATCTGGACCAAGCTTGGCATGAATACTTAAAATGCCCACATGTGAACACTGCTTGAGTTTGGGTAAAATAGACCTTGACATTTGGGAGATGTAGTTGAAGGGATGTATAGTTAACTTACAATCAAAGAACACTCTGGACCCAACCCACAATGGATCTGCACCAAAATCGGCACATTACCTATATTGTCAACATTGAATACTGATGGGGTTGTGGGGGGGGGGGCTGTTTTTAAATTCTGGGAGTTGTAGTTCACCAACAACAAAAAGGAAGAGCTGGCAAGCTGAGAGATTTTTGGCCTTCTGCCAAAAGGGTTCTTAAGACCACCAGAAATATATTTTCTGATAGTCTTTGGCTACCTTTCTGAAACCCCCATTGCGACCCTGCTAGGAGTCCTGACCCCTAGGTTGAGAAACGCTGCTCTAGCTCAAAGTCTGAAACTAAATTGACCCTTATTTGCAATGATAATGCAAGGGAGCAAAGAAGAGACAGTGTGATGCAGCACTGAGATT